GAAATTGCATTTAATTTCATTGAGTGTTTCACCTTATTGCAGAGTTAAACTATCAACATCATTTTTTAGAGCAGTGATTTGGTTTGGTAGTCCCTGTAAAGATCCTTCGTTGTTGGCTCTTGTAGGGAAACAGAAAGAATCACGCCTTCTGTTTTCCGTCTCTTACACAGGAATCCAATTAGTAGGTGAAACAATTAGGATCCACATTTCCATGTCTTTTTTGTCAGTGCTTAGACCCATTGAGGTGATGCCACATATAGACAAAAGTAATATATCTCGTGCCTGATTCACCAAAGAAAAAGACATTGAGGTGGTTTAGTAAATATGTTGACATTTATTTTTAATAAAGTGTGAATTCCTCCTTTTCTGTTATGGTGAATAAGCAACATTTTTGAAACCTGAACTAGTGTTGGTTAACATCCAAAAACTGAAGTGTAGTGCAGGTGATAAGAGAATTTTGCACCTATTTTTTTTAGAAGTATAGTTGCCAGTGATTCAAAGGGTCTGTTAAACCATTTGATACTGAAAACAATCAGCAGCAATTAACATAATCTTCTATTAGAAGTAACAAAAGAAGTCATCATCTCCTTCATTCTCAATTTTATATACAAGGATTTAATATATAATATGTATAACTTTGTTTAAAAATCTAAACCCCATATAATTTAAAAGGTCATAGGTATTACAAGTCTTTTTAATAAGAAATGTTTGAGACTTTGCTTCTTCAAAGATTTAAATGAAATAGTTTATTTTAAGCAGCTAGTTGTCAAACCCAATCTTCTCTCTTGTTTTTCAAGTTCATGGTATATAAAAAGAGGAAAGGAATTAATAGTCTATTATGTACATTTTGGCTTCCTTATGAGCTGTCACTGTAAATAGTCTCATAGACACATAAGACCTCTTTCTGTGCTGTAATGTCAATGTAAAGGACCATTTCAATAAGTGAAAATTTCATTTGCTCCCATCTGAAGGCCCTCTGTACTGTCAGCACAAAATACTTGGAATTCAAATCCGGAGTATTTATAGCCGTTCGGATAAGAGTGGGTTGCAATAAAACTTTAAAAGAAAATCCCACCAAAGGCCTTTTTTTGATTAAAGTGTTTGTCATATTTTGAAACTTTTGAGAGATTACTAGTTTGTGATATTCTTCCAGACTTGTTTATGGCTTTAATAGTTGCCATTCCTCGTAACATTTATAACTCTATGGAAAAATATTCTGAGTTGCAAGTATTTATCATTTCAAAACTCAAACCAATCTGTCACTGGCAGTTACAGGGAAAATTACTGTATTTGTGAAACTTCGAGAAGAGTCCTGTCCTTAGCTGTCAGATGACAATTAACAGAACACTCTTAGAGCTGGGAAGTCAAGCTGAAACACAAAACAATTTCCATGTCGCTCCTTCCCCAGAAACCTATGAGCAGAGATATTGTGAAGTGATAGGACACTGTAAACATTTACATTGTTGTTAAATGAAAAGAATCTTTTTTTCCCCTCAGCTTCTTTCATAACAAAGATGACATTGTTTTGTCCTCTGTCACCTTGTAAGAAGTGAGTAGTAAGAAATACAGTATTGTCTTGTTTTTTAGATTGAAGTGCTGGCAAAAAAAGAATAGTACAAAAAAGAGAAAATGAAAAAAGATTGCAATTACACTTGACTCTCTTGAGAGCACACTTCTCTTTCTTTGCAAGTAACTATCAATTGATTGTGAATCATTATTATAGACAAATTTAACTTTCTTCTTTGCTATTGTCTTCCTGTATTGTTTAGATGAAGAGCACAAGGAAAACTATGTATAATCTTTCAACTATGTGAATATATGTGCAAACTTTATGACTGTGAAATCAAATAAATCAATATTTAGGAAGCTCAGAACAAAAGACTGAAGCCATTTATGGTGACTTGCATTAAGCAATTTACTTTGTACTTAGCATTGTTTAGCTAAGCTAATCATGGAAGATTAACCTTTAAAAATTTATATTGCAAAGTATGTTGATCCCATTCTTGGTTCTTAATGCTTTTAGCTCTGTAAACAACATTTGACATTTACCAATAGTAATGTCATGGACAAATGTTCCCCCATCCTGCAAATAACAAAGGTTTAAATTGTTTTCTCTTCCTTTTTTTGAGGAAGGAGTTGAAGATTGGCAGCAGTGCAGTCTTTTTTTTTTTCATTTAATGGTGAATTAAATGATGACATCACTGTAGAGATCATTAGAAGTTAAATGTTTAACACAAGAATATTAGGCAAGCATTCAAATTTTTGCAGTGGCCACTGTTTCCTCATTTTATTTGAATGAAGCAAAAATACTTTAAAGAATGAATGTGAGAAAAACTGGTTCTAGGGCGTGTTCTGATCATAAATCACAGCAGCACTGAATTATGTGCATAGGTATGAAACTCCAAGCAGTCCTATTGCTTTTCCTGTGATGCCTCATGTTTATACCTACTTCTGATCTTGCCTTCTGGTAGTGCTGTAATATAAATATTCAATATTGAGAATGAAAAAGAAATAACAATAATTCATGATAGATTCAGTGTTTACCATTCAAATTTTCTAGTACCTTTCTTAACAGGAGTTCTGAGAAACAGTCAGTCAATCTTAAATTAGTCTGCCAAACTTTTTTAAATCTATGGTCTGAGCACCCCTCCTGCTCCATAAACAAAAGGCAATTAAGTAAAGAAAGTTCAAACATGTTATGCAGCAATTTGCATGCATGCATGAAGTTCCAAAGATTAAAAGAATATTGGTAACCATTGAAAAGGAGGAGAATTTATGGGACAGGCCCTGTAGCAGTACTAATCCTGATAGTAGTACAAAAGTTCTACAGATCTTTTTTTATATGATACAAAAGCTGTCATTGACATTTAATGGAGTAGGAATATATTTCTTTTAGCTTCACAAGGCATAACATCTCAAAGTGTGTGAGCTGTATTTAGATGGCATATACCTTGAAATACAGAAGTGTTTCATACTCATCTATGTTTACTCTTCTATTAAAAACAAAACCTGTTGGAACGATCTGAAGAAAGTCACATGTGCAGTGAGGCCTTGGGGACACCAAGTGAGAAGCACGAGTCATGTAAATGACCACCTCAAGACTAGACTATTTTTGTAGAAAGGTTAAAGACATTGGGTTTTGAGAGATTTTGCCACTGCTAGATGTAAGTTGTCCTTTTAGATACCTAAATCAATGGAGCTTTCAAGGATATAACTAAGCCAGTTTTTTCTCTATTAGTGTTAAATCCAAACTTGAACTGGACCAGGGCAGAAAGTGGCAGTAGTTCCGTTCCTATACCAAATATTATTCATAACTAAATTCTTAGGAAAAAGGGGCGCTGCTGCAGCTTAACTTCCATTTTGAGAATTTCTTGGTGCTTCAGGCAGATTCCTGATTTGAAGAACAGCTGTTAAGACACAGCATAAAATTTAGAAATGTAATACTTGCTCCTATTAGGAGATGCTGCTGCTGCATCCACACAGCTTGGCAGAAACTGTAAAGCTAGGCTCTAGATCTGCAACCAGAAGGGCTGGACGAGCCGCATCTGAAGAATTTGGGTTTATTATCTTGGGTTGGGGGAAGAAGGACAACTACTGTATCCCCTTAGCATCTCATGCAAGATTTAAAAGCTTTTCAAAAGTCCTACAGATTTCTTTTTTCCATTTTTTGCTGACATTGTTGAAGAACAATAGCAGATCACAATACGGCACTTTCCTTGGTAATGTCTTCTGAGTTGTTGTATCACACTAGTCCGAGTGGTCTAGAATTCTGTTTTAATTTCAGTTGGTACTTTAATCTTAATTCCTGGTACACAGTGATTTATATCGAAGCAGCTAACAGCATAAAGCAAAACACAGTATCAGTTTAACATAGTAATCAGAGGCTAACTTTAACAATGTGAGGCTAAACTGCTTCTGAAAAATGCCGTATGTCACTGCAGGTTGCCTATATGACTATGTGCATACATGGAATATTCATACAAGATATATGTATACAGTAAACATATGAAACACTTATGATGTTAAGCATTTGGTTCCGGTTAAGACCAATGGACACCGAGGTTTCCGAACTCCACACAGGAGATTCTCACAGCATCCAGTCATAGGTACCTATTTCACAGGGAAAATGTAGCCTTTCCTTCAGAGCTCTGAAAGTTTGGTTCCATAGGTGTGTTCAGAAAATGAGACCTCAAAAAGCTCTGGCTCTTTTTTCATCTACTTCCTCTTTGATCGACAATATTGGTTTTGATTCAGAACACTTTAACCGGGACTGTTTCTATTTTCTTTGTCAGTAGGCTGATAAACTGTTTTTACTATGGAGCAAAACCTTTTCAATACACAATATCCCTACCGGGTCATTAATTTTATGTTGAAATAAAAGAACTTTTTCCCTTTTTCTCCTGATAGTTATTCCTGATTTGTCTGTATTAGAGCAAAATTCTACTCTCTTTATTACTGCTAAGACTTTTCTATAACCAAAGAAAGACTGACTATTCCCAGTCAAACTTATAGTACATAATGTATGCTTAAGGGAAATAAGATTTGCACAAATATGTTATCCTCTTCCTAAGCATTAGTGTGTTACCCTTTGATTCTATGCTACTATTTGTTCTTTCTCCTTTGAAATTAATGGGGGAAGACTTCAGACTTATAGGCATTTTGAAATAAAATGTTAGGCCTGTAGGCCAGGGACTGGTGAGATATTAAACTTATTTTTTTACTTCCTTCTACTTTACTTACAAAATGAGGAGAAATGACACAGCTGACCACACTGCAGCTACTTAATGCTGCTGTAAATAGATCATAATAAGCATGTGGTATATGTGATTGTCTGTGCTGATAAATGAAAGGGTGTGGATTGTTCCGCATCAGTGGAAGGAGGGGAACAAGAAAAAAACCTTCCTGATTGCAGCTGCAAATGGTAGCAATTTTTCCTTCCTGCATTAATGAATGTAATTCATGTAATGCATATTACTTCATTCAACAGCAAAATTCTGATGTTCAGTTCACAGACATAAAATATTTTAATTAAGAATACCAATGAGTAATGACAATCCACTTCCAGAAAAAGCAAAGAAAGACGCTTCTTTGGCCATGTATAAGGAGCTGTGATGTGAATATAGTTTATCAGTGTAATAAATTCACTTTCCTAAAGCCCTTTACCAAAAGAATATCTTTTAAGCCATGTTCTGTTTTATTTGTCTGTTTTCCGCTTCTAACCTTCCTTTACATGCAGTATTTGACTGCAAACCTGCATTTTATAGTCTCTAGTGATCAAATCACTTCATCTCTATAAACATCACAAACTAAAAGAGCTTTCAGCAACTGAACTCCAACACAACATACACAAAACTAAAATAATTCATTGTCTAGAGACCATAACAAATTTTAATGTGCATTTACAGAGTAAACAGAGGGCTGAAAGGGGTCAAAACAGTGGAAGTGAAGGTATGTATTACAAAATCCACACAGTACTGAATTACAAACTAAAAAGTGATGTTTTGTCAAAAAAGGAAATAAAGATGTCTATTGGTGGCACGACATATAGATAATATTAAAAACTGGCTTGCATGAGGACCAAAGTATGTCTACTCTGAAGTTATATCACACAGACTGTAAGCAATTTACAGAATTTAAGTTAGTTTTGCATATACAGGAGTTGCAAAATTAGAGAAAACACACTGAAATATAGAACGCACACAAAAAAAAAAAAAAGATGTATATATATAAACCTCCACGCAGTCATCAGGGGTTGGCCTAAGTCAGTAATTGCCACCATTGAACAAGAAACAAACAAAAAAAGACAGGGAAAAAACCCACGGGGAAAAAAAAAAATAAAAAACAACCCCAAACAACTCAAAAGAAAAATATCCTCATTTGTTTTCCAGAAACATCTCTGGTCTGCTTAGCAGTTTTGTAGAATTTCTTTTCTCCTCCCTATTCCTCAAAAAAAAAAAAAAAAAAAAAAGTTTTTTGATAAGGTTTGTGGGGTGTTTTATTGGGGTCGATGTTAAATCACTATGTTTTGTTTCATTATTTGGCCTCTGTTTGCTTCCAGGCTGGAACGGTTCTTTCAGCATAGGAAACCAAATGTCATCCATGGTTAATTCTGTAATATTGATGACTCGCAGGCCAACCCCTGAGAAGTCAAGGATGAAGCTTCTCCTTGCCGAAAGAAAAGGAAACTAGGTCTTGCTGTTACAAAACGTTTGATTACATCACACCAGTTCTCTTCAAATAAAAGATCAATGATACGCCAAAGAAAATAAAATATATCAAGAAAACAGGTGGTATCCTCTTCTTTTAATATTTATTTATTTATTTAATTTATTTAGTATTTTTGTTTGTACTTCCTGAAGAAGGTGCTCCTTGTGTAGAGATTTAGAGTACATTGGGTGCAGAGTGGTGGTTGGAGGTTAGGGTCAACTTTGCTGTCCGCTCCGTGGATTTTACAGGCGATTTGCTCTTTGCTTTAAGAAGAGAAAGTGATATTGGAAAAAGTCAGCACTTTTAGATTAAAGCAAAGCACCCTTCACAAAGCCACAAACAAGAAGCAGGACAGAAAGTCCATGGCTTGTAGCTATCCTCGCACCTGCGGAAGAAGTTATAAGATATTCGCTCATCTTGCAGATTTCCAATGCTCCTTATAAGGCTGTTTTAAACACATACATTTATATATTTAATTAGCTCGCCAGGTTGGCTCTGGTGCCCATGAATGTCTTGGCATGCACTGCAAATAACAACACATACAAAGTATTTCAGTCCCAAGGAGGTTTTTTGTTTCGCTTTGCTTTTGTTTCTCGTCTGTCTTTTTAAACGTATCCAGTGAAGCCATATACCAAGAGGAACAAACCCAAACACCTTCCACCTCAGAGTGTTCTTTACAAAATCATTTCCAGCATCACATCATTGACTGCTAACAAAAATATCATCTAGTGGTTAAAGAGTGTTTTCTTGTAAAACAGAGGAGATAGATACTGGCAAATGGCTGTGCTATTTACAAGGGGGAAACAGAATGCTAAAAGGTTTGGAGTATGTATTTTTGAGAAATTGTATTTTCCCAGATTTTTTTTCCTTTTAAAAAGCTATGAAAACAATGGTACATATCATTATTTCTACAAACATGACTTTATATTTTAAGTACGTTATCAGAATAGAAGCATTCAGAATGAGACTAATTAAACTGAAATGTTCGCACACCAAGGACGTGAGTATTTAGATGTCTTACATACCAAGTCTCAGTGCTTGATAACTCCCTATATCATAAAGAATTACATTCAGAATTTGAAACATATTACTTGAGGTGAAAACCATAAATTTAATTTGGTTACATTATAAATAAAAGTTCCAATTATAACAGGTTAATACATGATTAATAGATTTTATAGCTGTGTTGTATACTTGAAAAGGATGAATGTTACTGATAGTTACAGGCATCGATCCTATAACAAAGTACTAATGGTGTTATAAGAAGTCCATAATAATGCTGTACTTCTAATAACTGGTTATTTTTAAAAAATACATTAATCATTTATAAGCTATTTTTGTAAAGAATTTAATATTAAACTGAATGCTGGATTCCATTGCAGCCCCAAAAAGCACATTTATCTTCTCATCAAGAATATACACAATGAAAGCAACTCAAGGCAAATGCTAATTTTTTTAAAGTTTTCAGACGTTTATCAGTAAAACATTTCTCTGTATCTGCTAACTATGTTTCTAAGTGTAGCAAGAAGTATTCCTGTTCCTATCTTTAGTAAATTTTTCCCTTCAAAAATGGGGATTAAACTAAATCCCAGATCTCTGAACACTGTTTCCTTTTGTAAATAGAAGGTGTGAGACGTTGCATACATAGTAGTTGCCATAAAAGACTCTTAGTCCTCTGTCACATACGCAAGAGCTTCTCAGTGACAGTGATATTTCAATTATCCATGTGTGAACTGAATTTCTAAGTGAATATTAACTTTTAAATGGAAACATGTCTCAAAGACATTACTAAGATTTTCAAAGAAGTCCAAGGGAACTTTGAGCTTAGTTCCTACTGAACAGGAGTGGGAAGCCCACTTTTCTCTTGCCCATCTGATAATGCTAGCCTACCTGTACTACACTGCAGTAGTTTGCTGGGCTCCTCAAAACACTTGTTCTGTATTAGGAACAAGCAAACACACAAGCAAATTTGCTGTAACTTCTTCCTGTGGGTCGTTCTCATATAGGTAGTATTTACAAGCTTGCGCCCAAGGGTCGAGTCAATTTCTGGTTTTGGTTTTATTGCAGCATGGGTTTCTTCTCTCTTTTATATAAAGTGTAAAATTTGTCATTTGACAGATTTTTATAAAGGCTTTTCTTTCCCTAACTAGGTTAGCAGAACTTAGTGAGAACCTTTGTTAGTATTTGATCATTTCATGATGTATTGAACTATTTTCACTCATTTTATTCCATTTAAATATTTTTTTGATTGAACTAGAGAAATACACTGCTCAAGACAATTCTAAAGACGTCTTTGGAGATACATTTCCTCTGCACAAAATATGTACAATGCAAATAAGGATAAATACTCAGAAGAGTCTCATGGATATTTTTTAAAAGAGCTTTTTTAACGATTAATGGCATTATAATTTGAGAATTTGAAAGCCGTAATGTGTGGCAGAGAATCAGTATGATACAAAATAGGTTTGACTTAAACTATTTCACAGTGGGAAAAGCAGCACCATAAGATTTGCAGGCAAAACATTCTTTGATTTTTGTTTTGTTTTGCTTTTTTTCAACGTGACAATCTGTAGATCCCCAAATTAGGGGTCATATATTTCATACACCTGATAACTTTTTTACTTATAACGTTCGGTCTCTGTATAAATCACGACCTCTTTCCAATTCATATCACATGTTCTACATGCATGTTCTTCTGTAAACAGCAAGTTTGTTTATCTTGCAAGGGATTTAGGTCAGAGTACATGCAGTAAGTACAAGCTAAAGCAATACTGAACACATGAGAAAAATTTAGGGGGAATATAACTAAAACAATTTCAGCTTCTAGGTGAAGAAAGAGGCTGTTAGGAGGTTGGGATTGTTGGAAATCACTGTCATAAAGTGTCCTCTGCATGGTTTCGGGATCTGATTAGTATATCCTAATGTCATAGCAGGTCTGTATTTACTGGCTTAATAGTTTCCAAAATGCTGTCTAACCCAAACTAATACATTTTTCAGTAATATATCACCCCAAATAAAATTAACTTACGATATACAGTGACATATATGACTATTAGGTGCACTCTCATCTTTTCAGTGATTCTTTATGAAATACAGTTGGAGTTTAAATATACTCAGGTTTCACTCAGTTTCTTTTTTTTTTTCTGGAGATGTGTAAAAGAACTGTATTTGTTCTCTCATGAACCCAAGAAATTCTTCAGATGTTGGAGGGGTGAAAACTGCAAATATAGAACAATAACATAGCAAAACTGAAAGCAGCCTTTTTAGATTTTTTCCTTTTTATATTCTGTCATATTTTCTCATATTCTATTATTTTGGGTTCCATCTTGATAAAGGATAAGTGACTAGAAATAGTCAGAAATTTCCATTTTGACTGTGAATCTAAAAGTCATAGTGTGTTTAAATCAGAGATTTACTATTTTTAGACTTAAGTCAGAGGCAAAGTACAGATCAGAATCCAAATCCAAATGTCTCAAAAATACAGAGTATCCAAATTCAGAGTTTTCATGCAGATGTGTTTTTGGTGTATGGTTCTGTCCAGGACTTAAATAGTATCACTGGAACTGTGAGCACGGTAATATAAGTAAAAACCTGTCGATCTAGCTGTGGATTTGCCAAATCGATTACTCATTTCCCCGCTATTTCTAACATTATTTTTTAATTAACATAATGAGAGCGAGAAGAAATTTTATTGCAGGTCAAGAACACTGGGCAAAGCTGGACTACAATTATGATACCCTCAAAGACAGTAACCTGGAAGAAGAACGGTAGTATGTACACATATATTATTTCTACATTATTAGTTAAACTCTACTTCATGTGTGGGTCAAGGATTCTCACATTTTGACCTATCAGCCACTGGGATCCAGTTAAATTCTTCCTGTGAGATGTAAATGCCCCTGTGTTGTCTTTTGTTTCCTGCCACTGATGTACATCCAAAAGAGCAAATGTCCATGAAATACTTAGCCTTCTCCTGTAAACAAATGCTGTATTGCCGAAGGCACGTGATCATAAGTTTCTGTGCAACAGCATGAAAGAGTAGTTCATGCCATTAAACTCTTTGAAACTGTGATTTATTCAAATATGTGGTTTACTTAAATGCTAGGAAAACAGAGAAAAAACAATAGTGATTAATAATTGTGATCTTAGTTTTAAAATCATAAAATAACCTCTGTCACAAATGTTGAATAATGGCTCATAATGTATGGACCAAATAACCTGTTGATGAGATTAATTTTGGAGCATCTAAGTATAAAATAAAGCCAGCAGAAGTTATAAATTGTTAGTAAACCCTAACTGATCAAAAAAATAGTTGCTCATTGCATGCCTGAATGACTGTAATCCCTCGCTTTCACTAAGATATCGATCAGACAAAAATTGTGTAAAAATACATGGATTTTGGGACGCAAGCAGAGAAAAGCAAATGTTGGTTTCATAATTTTGCCCACTTATTTTTCACAACTGGACAAAACACTGATTTGTAAACTAAGCAGCTGCCTCAGGCCCTACAGTTTTAGCACCCCCTATTTGTAAGAGTACCTTACATGGTTTAACCACCTTGGGTCTCAAGCAGTTTGCATCTGCAAGAGTTGAAGTTTAGCAAGTTGGGCATTCCTTGTGCTTGCTAAGGCTTGGGAGGTCTCTGGGATGTAATAGCCTCCTGCACTCTGAGCCTCAATACCCCTCAGAGCCTCTGAAAACTAGATTCTTACAGTTATGCTTAAAATGAGTAGTGTGTCGTCATATAAATAACAGAACAAATCCGTGTATTCGACAGCATTGCTTTAATATTTTAGTAAACATATAAGTTTAGTGAGGGTATCTTTGAGTTTCCTTTAATTAGTAAGCCACTGATCACAAGGGAAGACTAATGCCTGAGTAGAGTCCTGGTTTTGTGCTGACCAGTACAGAAGAAATACAGCCAGTCACACAAAAGTCCATCCTAGATTCTCTGTATGTATTACATGATGCCAAACTATCCCTGCATATATATGGTGGATATATATTCAACTTGTGCTGAATATCAGTTAATTTTTTTGTACTACTGGTTTCTGAAATCACAGAGGTGTTGAAATCTTGGAAGTTTCATTTTTCAGGAATTTGTGCTGATATTGTCCATCTTTAAGTGCCTGGTTTACTGTTTTGCAACACTTGGCTTTGCTTTATAGTGTTAGATTTGAAATAGCCTTCTTGTCAGCCCCAGTTAAAACCACATGAAATCATAATTTTGCATTATGTCCATGTAAAGTAATTAAAGGTTCAT